GAAAAACATTTAATCTGTATATCATTCATGCTTTCAAAAGATACTGCATTTACTAACCCTCCTTCTCAAGCTTTGGAAATAAGAATTATCTCTTTCAAGGAAAGAATTTGGGATTTATATATTAGGAGCTTCAGGCTGGCTTCAACAGAGGTGGAAGAGCAACTAGCACAGGAATATCAAGTCTCTGAGAGCTCTTGGCAATCAGGTACTGGGAATATGAGTCCCAAGACTTGGACAATCCATAATAACTTGCAGTCTGAGCAAAATACGCTTACACAAAAATCTTTTCTCGACTGGGTATTTTATTATGGGCTGTTTGCTAACTTAAGAGGAACGAAAAACATCTTCTGTATGTATTTTCTGGAGTAACAACTATAAACTGGCAATGCTTTTGTACTCAGCACTTATATAAATGGTAAAAAGATGTTCCTGTAAAGCTATGGTTGTTTTTGGAAAGGATAAAATCATCATGTTCCATCCTCCCTGCAGAGCTTCACAGGGAGATTCTGTGTCTGAGACCACCCTGCACATGTCTGTGAGATGCTGAAATGCTAGGCTGTTGTTACAGATTACAACACAGTTGTCCTACAGAACTGAAATTTTATCATGTGTTCCTGAGGAAGTTCTCAGCTGAGTTTGATGGGTGGAATGGAAAACAACAGTAAACAATCAGGAAGATACCAGTAGTGGTCTTACTTATGCCAGAGAATTTTGATAGTAGGTTGCTTACATTTACCTGATAACAGATTTGCTGAAAAGCCAGAAACGTTAGCATATGTCAAGTTCTCAGGCTGACTTACCTTTTTCTTCTTGAAAAGGTTTTGTGAAGCTGATATAATTTTCTGTTTTATGTTGTTGTTTAGAACATGCAGTTTTTCTGTTCTTACTCAGTTTTTTAAACTAGTAGTTTTAATGCTGTAGAAGAACCTGTGTCAGGTTCTAGATTTCACCCATTAATCAGATGAGAAATTTTTGTTTTGTGCATGCGAGTGTGTTAGTGCATTTACTTCTGTGCAATAGAATTTCCCATTTGTTAGTCTTCTAATTTTATTTGGTAGCAAAACAAAGGACAGTTCTCCAGCCCTGTGGGTCAAATTCATTGTTTTTACTACACATTTTGTTGTCGGGGAGGGGCAGTTTATAAAGAAGACAGGCCATATTCTTCTTAGAGTTGCACAGCAAAAGGACAAGAGGCAATAGTCACAAGTTGTAACGTGGGAAATTACAACTGGATATAAACAAAAAGAAAAAATACTATTAGAATGGTTAAGGAGCACTGGATTAAGTTGATCAGAGAGTCTCCATCCCTAAACTTACAAGGCTCTTAGCAACCTTTTCCAACTTGGATGTAGCCCTGCTTTGAGCAGGAGATTGCACTAGATTAACCTCTGGAGGTCCCTTCTGACCTAAGTTATCCGATGATTATTCGTGCCAGCATGAAGCATGCATAAAATGCCACCAGACTGGAATTCTAAGATTCTAATTCTTCTCTAAAAAATACCATTGTACTGCTATAAAAAGGTCTTGGAGAGTTTATAGATGCGATATGTTTTTACAAACATTTATCTCATCTTTCTTCTTTTCTGAGTTTTAATTTCACCCACCTTCTTTGCAGACTGAGATCAGAAAAGGAATTATGCATGTGAATTAATAAAAGTATGAAGAAAAAATAAATGTTATTGGCATAGAACTTTAATTTGGGGAATTCTGGGAATGTTTTCAAAAATCATTATATCTGGTTAGTCCAGAAAGGTTATCACTCACAGGAAATACTGATTTTTATCTGAAACAATTAATATTTGTGTAATATTTAGCTAATAGTAAAACAGTATCTTCCACAGATCACTTAGTAACTCCCAGTACATAAGGTGGTTTGCAAACACATAGAGCTCACTTCTTAACCCAGTCCCTAACACATACATAGAGGATTAATATAGTCTTTTGTTTCTTTAATCTACTTCTTTTCTTCTACCAGTTGAATTCGCACCCAAAAAACTCTATAAAACCAAGACTTACATCAGGTTAGCTTTCTGGGATCGCAGTACTTTGTTTGGGCTTTTAGTTTGGTTTTGACTTCTCCTGTGATTTGGAGGAAGGTGTTTCAGGGGATATTTTGAGAGGATGTGGATGTTGAGTCAGACTTTTGTGACACTATTCATAGCTATTCTAATATTTTAGCTAATGTTTGTGTTCTGTGATGTTTTAAGACATTTTTCCATAGTTCACAGGAATTGAAAAGTATATATCTTAGTTTATTGTGGCAAGTGTCGGAACGCATATTTTGACAGTGCTGTTACTGAACCATTAGAAGAATATGTGAATTGAATGGTAAGGTGAAATGTTGAAAAAGCTGCAGTTTACAAAGCCATCTCAAGGGCTCATGCATTACAATTGCCATGTGCTATTGCTTCCAGTGGCTTCTGCCTCAATAGAAACTTTTTACAGCATAGTTTCAGAATTATTCTATTTCAGATCTAACAGAAGATTAGAATATTTCTGCTTAGCTTGTTTTTAAATAAAATTGTTCTTGATGGAACATGATCTGTTGCTAACTAATGTTGAACATCGATAGCCATGAGATTTCAAGATACGCAGAGAAAGGAGCTGATAAGAGTGGATTTTAATAGAGCCTTGTCTCGAAACAGGTAAATAATATGTAGCTACAAAATATAGTTTGACTATGTTTGTATCAACTCAAAAAAATTTATTAATGTGTCCCTACCTTTAGCTAGCAGTTGTCTTTATATGATGTGCGAAAATCAAATAAAGGACTACTGCTTTGAGCTGCCTCCATTGGTCCAAGCTTTCATGATATCTGGAGTGCTTAGTATAATCATAGCAAGTGACACACATCGTTGTGCGCAGTTTTTTGGGGTTGTTTTTTTCTTAATTCATACAGAATCATTAAGTTTTGAGATGCAGAAAGATTGATTTAGTCCTGCTAGAACAAAATATAACTAAGTTCTAAGTTCACTGTGTAAACTGTGGTTTCCTCTTTGAAATGCACATCCAGCAGAATCTGATCTGCACTTCGTTTTATTAGAGGAAGTAAGAATATTGAAGACTGTATATAAAAGATTGCTACTGTAAGTGGTATTACAGTATTTGGGTTGCATCCGCTTCATTATTATTTGTCGCTACTGGCAGTGGCTTTGTGTTGTGTAAATTTTGTATAAATTGCTTGTAAACCTGTGTTCAACATAGGATTACAAATTTAAGCACTTTGTATTTCCTGCAGATTGAGCGTGCAGTTACGGGATTTTTTTAATAAAAAAAAGTAAAACCTATGTTAAGAATGGATGAAGCTGCACTTTCTTTCTTGTATTGTCTAGTTTGGGTATGTCTGGCTGTCGCATGGTTCCGTGAAGAGGCAAAAGAGCAGCAAGTCTCCTTTATACGGTGATTGCCCTCACTTGTTTCAGGAGGTCTTAGTCACAGAGTGCCCATGTGGCCAAGGGCACACTGGAGATGACAAAGTGTATTGTTATAACTCTGCCTCAGCAGACTAACTATTCCACTTCCCTAAGAGATGAAGTACTGTGCATTATGACTTTGTTCCTTCCTATGATCTGCACCCAAGGCCTGATCAACAGAGAGCATAGCTAGAAGTCCTAAAATAAATTCATTTTACACACACACAGACTCAGAGCCTCTGTACTCCTTCCCTGTAGTCATACAATTGAAATACTAAAACTGATTAAAGTATCCTCACAAAAGGCAAGTGTTACTCTTCCTCATCTTCATTTAAATGTATTCAATTAGTTACTGAAGTAAATAGATGAGCCTTGCATTATGCTTTCATAGTAGCTTTCATGAGTTTTGCAAGACTGTGTTGCAGAATTATCTTTCAGTTTTCCAGAGTTAAAAAATAAAACTTTCTAGACAATCTCAGTGATGATTCAGTTTTCTCAAACTTGATGACTGTATATTGTATATACTTCCCAGTCAGTATTTTTCCCTTAGTTTGTGATTGCTTTCTAACTGTTCTAGGGCTGTAAAAGCAGCCCACTACAAATCATAATGGTATTTGTGAAACTGAATGGCATGTGTTGATAAAAAGCAGTTGCGTACCATGCAAGAAATGTTATGCTGTATGATGAATTCATTTCAGCCTTAAGCCTTTTCTTTCTTACATAATTTGTAAAGGTAAAAGTACCGTATGACAGAGACGAACTGCGAAATACCTGCCTACCAAACATTGGATATAGGTATATTTTTGATGATGAAGATAGCTGACATCTTGCCACACGTGACTTCTGTATATAATATGCTTCTTTACCAACCAAAAATGACATTTTGTCTAGTCAGCCAGTGCTTTGGAAAAGTGCAATACAAATAAGAACAATCAGCATTTTTGGCGACTACAATAATCACCATCTTTCTGTATTTACTGAGAAATCCGGGCCTAGGCAAACAACTATGCCATTTTTTCAGTTAAATTCATAAATAAAGACCTTTTCTTTATGCTTTTGTAAATCATCACATAATCAAAACCTAAATATCATCTCCTGTTGTCTTCTAGCAAATGTAGCCTGGAGCCCCAGCCAAAACATGTGGTAATATCTTAATGTAGTAAATAGTGGCAGACCTAGAAGGCACTACAGTGCAGTGCTAAACTCTATTCATTGTGGCCAGAGGCTGTTGTGCTTGCTGTCAGCTCCACGCAGACTGCCTGTAACTGTCATCATCGGTTTGTGGCAGCTGTCACTCTTTCTTTTTTTTAGCGTCCTTGTTATGGTCCTGCAAATTGCTCATAGTAGACATTAGCCTGTATAAGTCCACATGAGCAAAATTTTTTCTGTCCTTTTTTAAGAGGTGTCATAGAACTCAAGCGCTAATTATGAAATTTTTCAACATGCAAATCTCAAGCTCACCTTTGTGTAATGGGCCCAGACCACAGTGGGGGTAAATAGTTGCTGGCTGTTAAATTTGTTAAAAATTATGCAACTATTTCTGTTTGAAACACTAAATCAATTGGTTGATTAATTTGTTTGTTTCAGGAATTTATCTCTTGGATTTAATCTACATTGATTCTGCATATCCCGCTTCAGGCAGCATTATGGAGAATGAACAAAGATCCAATCAAATGAACAATATTCTCCGAATAATAGCTGATCTGCAAGTCTCCTGTAACTATGGTTGGTGAATTTTGTTATATCTATTAAGCCTTAACTAAAATTTCTTTAGTACAACATCATGAAAGCGGATTTCAGCCCTGTGTAAAGGCAACACAAGAGGCTAACGTTGGTAGAGTTGAACACTAGTATGTGATGTAGCTTCCACGTCTGTGCAGTTTCAGTCTTACTGGTAAATTAGGCCAATAAGCATGTATTCTAAATTGTAAGGGCTATAACAGAAGTTGTGCAGAGTTTACTGCTACATGTGGACTACAAATGTCATGCTTTCAGGTACAGCTATTGCATTTGGGTTATATTCTGTTTCTACCAGAGGCAGTCAGAGAGAATTATCTCAATATCTTTCCTTTCCTTTGCAGTAGATATGATGTCTTTAGAGTATAGAATGTGTTAATTTCATTATCATTTTATTGTTAGTATCCTGATGGTATGTTTACAAAATGAAATACAAATATTTCAATCTATACAACAGTTGTTAAATTGTGTGTTAAGTTTTTCCACATACCTCACTTGTTGATGAAGTGAGGAACATGAGAGAGCTGCTTCTTTTTGTTAAAAAGATTTTACTCTCAAATTCATTTCTGCAATTCTAGCCTGTTAGTGAAGCCTTATGTCAAGAAATGTGCTGGTTTGGGGGTCTTGACAAATACTCAGCATACTGTTGGTGACTTAGCACGACTTTTCATTACTTAAACATGAAACAAGCTGGAAAATCTTGAGAGCAGCTGTACAATTAAATAAATTCAGAACATTTAAATGCTACAGTTTTGGAGAGTTTTGAATAGGAAAAAAAAATTAAATGTTAGATTGTGAGAAAATGAGGTGAGAAATTACTTGTGTATGCTTAAGTATCCAGCCCATGTCCTTTGTTGTCAACTTCGGTATTATAAAGTATTTAAAGGTAGAGACTAGGCATAGTAATGTAAGATTCTGAATAGCTAGATTATTCAATTATCATGTTCTTATTGTGAGTTTCATTTTGTCTTTGAATACTTTGAATGACAAAGAAACCTCATTATTTCACTGATCCTTTCCTTTTTACAGTTTTCGCAGCTTCTGGCATTGCTATGCATTAATTTTGAGTGCTTTTGTTAAAATCAGAATGAAAATTAAAATATGGCTTTGAAGAAACAATACTCTGGAATAGTGTGTGCCTTTAAAATAGTTGTCCTTATGAGAGCATAAAAGTTAAGTTAGGTACTCCAAGGCATGTTCCTGTCTATGCACCATTCGTGAAAGGATTTTTGTCATTCTGAACTTAGTGTCTTTCTTTCTTGGTATTCAGCATTGTAATTTTTAAGTCTCTTCGCTTCATGTTCATATGAGAATCACTGACAGCTGCAGCTGCAGGCTTTAATTTCCCCCAGAACAGTGAGCACAAAATTCAAGCAGGGTTTGCAACAAATAACTCTTTTCCACTTGTGAGATAGCATATAATAAAATCCACTAGCTTTCATGATGATGAAATGCATCTGTGTTTTCTTTAACAACTGAGCATCACTTTTGCTCAATCAAATCTTTAACATCTTCTTAGAGTCAAAGTAATATTTCTGCCTGATTTATTCTTTAGAATGGTCCAAATTCTCTGTTTCTATTAAGATAACCATAAGAACCAGAAAGAAAACCTGAAAGAATAATTAATTTTGGATGACATGAATGTTCATCTTTTTTTTGTTTGAACACTCCACAGATCATCTTACAACACTGCCCCATGTGCAAAAGTATTTGAAGTCTGTCCGTTACATTGAAGAACTTCAGAAATTTGTAGAAGATGACAATTATAAGTAAGTACTATTCTTTTCTTCAGGTTTTAGGGAATTTAATGGAAAGATCACTTGGCTGTTAGTTTGAATAAGAGTTGAATAAAAGGCCATTGGCTGAAGATGTTTTGGGGTTTGTCTGGTGTTATTAATATTTTATTAATGGAGCTGATAATACCAGGATGCCTGAGTAAAATCCAGAATGACAGTCTTCCTTTATGACTCTAACCAGATTTCCAAAACAAAATGTCTTTGTAAAAGTTAAAAGCAGATGAAAATCTAGTCTTTATTCTATTACATGATTCTGTATCCTCAGAATTTTGTTCAGGAACCCTAAAGCCGTCTCCAAAATGTCCAGGATTGACTCTATGCTATTGTAAATAATATATTAAAAACATCTTCCAATTTCAAATTACTATTTTTAATAAGCTGGTACTTAAGATATAAACCTGACGATTTTGGGGGTTTAAGCATGTTAAAGCCACGCTTACAAAAGAGGTGGGGAAGAGCTAACCCACACAGTGGTGTGAAATAGACACCATAGAGCACATTGGTCAGTATGTGAATGTGCTCCAGTTAAAGGAAGTGATAATCCCTGGCCAATAATTCTGAAAGAACTAGCACATTAAATTATAGGTCTGGCAGCCAAGGTTTTAAATAACTCAACCAAGGTAGATGCAATGCTATATAATTAGCTCTTGACAAATATAGTACCTCTGTTTAGGTGAACAGAATTATAAGTATTCAAGGCAACCAGATGTTCAGTAATATGATGGTGGTATGAAGGGTTTTAGAATATGTTTTGGAGAGCAAGGTTGCTAACGAAATTCTTTAAAACTAGTCTTGTTACCAGTTTTATTAAATACTTCAGTTAAGAACTTTGTCTCGGAATTTGTGTGTGCTTAGACCATATGCTAATAAAACAGTGTTGGAAGGGTTCATTGAAGTAGAAGATGATTTGGATATCACAGAGGAAGAATCAGATGGCCTGATGACTAAAATGGAAGTGACACAAAAATCAAAATGTTACTTATTTATTCTAACAATAATTTATGGTGTTGATCAGTAGATGTCTGTCAGAAGTGAGATAGAGCCATGAAAAGACAAATTCATCCAGCTCCCTATCAAATATAGTGTTTCTATAAAAAATTACATTGTTAATACTGCTTCAAAAGGAGTTGGTGAGACCTTATGTGGAGTACTGTACGTGATTCTGGCCATCCATGCTTAGAGTGGGTTTAAAAAAATGCTGGTGCAATCAGGTGAATAAAGTCTGTCTTGTAACACTAGACGTAAAGAAGTAGGTTTGGCTTTAGCCTAGAAAAGGAGAAGTTTAGGTAATAGAATCACTATGTATAAACACAAGTGGGAGAAAATAGGGAGGGTAAAGAGCAATTTAAACTAAATTGTAATGGTAGCACAAGGATAAATGAATACAAAAATTTAGAAGCTAAATGTTGAAATATGGTTCCTAACCATCAGAGTAATGGAATTCTGGAACAGCTTCTTAATCAGAGTAGCGAGACAAATAATTAAATAATTTTAAGTTGAAACTTGATCAGTTAGTGAAATGAAGGCTACCAGTTGGTGTTTGTGAAAAGAAAAGAGCAGATTCAGTGAATCAGAAGACTGTGTATTACCAGTGTGGGGTCATACACATAAGAGCATAAAGAATGACCTACCCTAACCATTCTACATTTCTGTGCAATTATAGCTGATATTGCTGGCATACAGATACAAAATCCTACTTAGTTCAGGAAATAAAGGTGTCACCATATTAGAGACAAAAAAAACTCATGTTTGAGCATAGCATGAGTCAAGCAATATGTCTTTTCTCTCCGATTTTGAACATAACTGCAGTTGGTGGTAATTCCAGCTGCCAAAGCTGTTCCAGTTAGCTCTGGTTCAGGCCACTGTGCATACAATACTATTCCTCAGCCAAATCTGTCGATACGGATTCTTGTGATAAATGTGTGTGGAACTTTGTTTTTCCTGAGAAAATAATTCTAAAAGTAAAACCATTCAGACAAGGTATTCTTTTGGAACTTCTCCGAGTATTATCGGGACATACTTCAAATAGAGAGAAAATGTCCAAAATTTGTCCCTTTGCTTAGGGTAAACTTCAGCAAAAGAAGCTGAACCAGCATTGGGTAGTTCACTGCAAAAGATCATACTTGGCTATGGTTTGATAGGTTTGTGCTTTTGTGTCTGTTTGATCACAGATACTAAGAATAGTGATGTTTCTGTAGGAAAATTATTTGGAAAAAAAGAATGTGTTTGTATGATGTTTTCGTAGCAAAATTTATCTGCTTCATGGAATTAGAATTCCTGCCAGAGTACTGATGATAGAATGCATATGTTCTTCCTTTTCTCGTGACATTGTAGATGTTTCACAAATAGAGATGCATTGTGCAACAGATGCACATGGAACATTAGCATTCCGCACAGCCTTTTGAAAAGGTCAGGCAGTCCAAGACTTGTGTTAAGGGTAGTCTGAGATTTAAATCTCAATGTTAAAATTTATCAGATGGTCATTATTTACTAATTTCCCACATACTTCCGTGCTTCATTAAAGTCGCGAACGTAGAGCAAAATTAAACTGAGTAGTAATTGGTAAAGGTGAAGAATTGTCATTAGTATAGGCTTTACAGCCTTTGGATTCAAGGAACTGGTCATGTTGCTTAATTTGATTTTTAGATGGAGTTTCCTGATGATGCATCAATGTTAACATTATATATACAATAGCTTTCATGAACTGTAATATCTTAGGAAAAACAGATTAAACAAGTGGTTTCTGTAAGTATATGATACTGTAACATAATATTTGGAAAAACTGCAAGTTATGAGTAATTCCAGTTTAAATTTGAAAATCATTTTAACTTCAGCAGCAGCCTTTCTGATAATGCTGGAAGGTATTTGATGTATCTTAAAGATCGTTTAGTATTTTTTCTTTTGATTTAGTTATTTGTGAGAATATTTCAATCAAATTTAGCAGTTTTCTTTCTAGGCTTCACTATGGCAAGGAAAAACTGGACTGAAGTCATAAGAGGTATTAAAAAGAGGGAAAGATTTGATTCTTAGCACAGTAAAGTTGCTGCAGTTTATATACATTGGAGAACTTTGACCTTTTTCTACCATGTTTGCTTCATCAGAATAAAGCTGTAATTTAAAGTCGGTATTCATCAAAACTCATCGCAACTACCCTTAAAGAGAACTCTCATTCCTCTTCCATCTTTGTATTTGATGAGAAGTTTTGGGATTTTGTTTTGAATATTTGATCTCACATTTTCCTCTCAGTTTTCCCTAGTGGATCTTCAGTTTCATAGCATTTTCTGGTCCCATGCCAGAAGAAACTGTAAGCCTTAAAAAGGCAAAGAGTGTGAAGTTTTTATAGTGTTGAAAGAATCTCCTCTCTCTTTCTCTTTCCAGTGACCACTCTTTTTGAGCCAGGGACAGCCTTAGTGGACTCTGAAGAGATGTATGCTTGACCTTTGGCAGGGAGAACAGAACTATCTCTGTACCAGGCTGTCAGGGAGAGAAGCTTAGATAGTTGCCCTAAAATGTATTGGCAGGATCCCAACACACGTTTCGCCAAATGAGAACTTCAATTACACTGAAAAGGAAAATTTGGCAGCCACTTTATATAAACAAAGCTTTTCTCTACAATTTTTGTGCCATTCCAATTGCTTGCTTTAGGTTCGTGCTTGTCAGCAAGTAGGAACACTCCAGAAAACCCCTGACAATGATGTCATATCCTAAAAATAATACATCTTTCTTGCTCAGCCCATATACTGTTCTCTGCAGAAGCTGAGAAATTATAACGTTTGCTAGTTACAAGACTAAGGGGGCAAAAATAAGACCTAAAGCATCAGGACTCCTTCCAGTTATACCCGAAATGTATTGCTAATCATTGTTATCTCAGGGCATCACTGGCAGCCAATGGGCTTCAGAGGTACCATGACGCAGCTGCTGCAGGATCTTCCTCCTCCTCCAGGAGTGTAAGAAGTGATCTGAGGAGAGTGCTTGTCCCCAGATATGCAGTTTTTCCCTGAGCTAGACAGTGCTATCCAAACATTGTGGCACCATGCCACATCCTTTCCTAACCTGCCATGCCTCACAGCGGTTCCAAAACAATTATTTTTGCTGACCTTTTGGTATCATTAGGTCACAGTTGTTCTTGGTCTAAATTTGCCTTGGTATTCTCCACTGTTGTTCTTTGAGTAAAGCCAGTTTGAGGACTATTATTTGTATTACAATGTTATCTGGACAGAACAATCAGGATTGGAATCCCATTCTGTAGGCTGCTATCTATACATATAATTCAGTTCTTTAGAGCATATTAGGCAAGACACTGATATTCCAATATACTAGTAAGATGATTTACAGAAAAATCAGTTCAAATTTAGGTTCAGATAGGCAGGATGCTATCGGAAATAATCCAAGAGAAGTTAATAGGCAATTAAAACATTATACTGACTCCTAACAATGATGGTGCTATAAAAGTGCCAGCTGCACCATATTGTTTTTAGTCTTATGGTAACAGGCATTGCATGACAGGTGCTTAAAATATTAGTACTTGTAACAGTGAACCTTGTCCCCAGTCCATCTTAAATAGGCCTCCCAGGCAGCTATATTCTCTGGACCTTTTCAACCAAGAATTATTATCAAAAGCAGGGGTAGGGGGAAACCTTCACTGTTAGTCTGATATTTCCAGTGATCCAGTAGCCATATGGATCAATAGCTTTGGTTGTGACTTGGCTGCCTCTTCCACAGGACAGTCTCAGGGACCGTGAAGCTTCCAGAAACTGTTGGATCTACTGTTTAAGTGCTACACAGGCAGCCCAAAATGTTCCAGATATGTCAGACCCATTTTTCTTCGTGCACAAATACTGGTCAGAAATGCCCTGAGTGACAGCTTTGAGGACTGCACTGCTTTATTGCAACTTAGATCTTCCTTGTCTCAAGAAAGATGAATAAGTTTTGTTCAACCTCCTCATGGAGCAGCTAAATTTCCTGTTCATGTAAGGCTATTCTCTGTCTTCATTCACTTGCTTAATATTAGGAGAATTGAGTAAAAGTAGCTTTACCGTCCTAGAAGTAGTTTCATCCTGACTGAAGAGCATACTCCCATGAAACAGAACTATGTTCAAGACTGGCTACCTATTTTATTTTCTGCATTATGTTAGGTTCCTCTTTTCGCGCTTATCGGGAAGGTTACTTTTAAATGTAAATCAGTAGGCATAGTGTAGCACTCAGTAGCAGAGTGTTATGTAGGACTAGGTTGGGATAGAGGTCCAGCTTACTTTACAGAGCATACCAGCCCTAACACATCCCAGAAAATATTTTGAGTATCAGGCTTAAAAAAAAAAAAAATGTTTATGTCATCTTTTTACTATCCAAGAACAAAGCCTTCACATACTCTCCCTATGCCTTGTTCTTTAAAAGCTTTGTCTTAAGTCCTAAAGGTAAATTGGTGGTTTGTTAATTCAGTAAGTCTCTATGCTGATTTTTTTCCTGGAGATTTTACTTCTAGGTTTTGTTTCACCTTAGATTGTTAATACTAACTCCTCAATTGTGGAATTTCAGTTTCTAATGGACAGTTTCTGAGGTTGATATCTAGGATTTATCCTGGCATGTCTCTTAGCTGAACTCTTGCTGTATAATTTTGGAATGTTGAAATTTCATATGTCAGCATTTAGACCTTGCACTAAGACTAGGCTTCCTCACCATGGTAAAGCAAAGATTTTGTTTTTGAAAAGAATTCCTGGAAAAAAAAAATTCTAACACTGCTGTGATATTGTATGAAGATAGTGACTTATAAGATGAATTTCTGGTAATATACAGGTGCAAACACAAAAAAGAGAACGTCTTTATGAATTATGAGTGGTTTATTAGGCATGCTGGAACAAAGGTAGTTTTTACTTGTAGTAATACTAGTGAATATCATTGGGGACAGCAAGCTGTGAGAATATAATTTAGCATGTGATGATATGAATGATGAATGTTGGTTGTAAGCACATCACGCATCAAAGTCTGCACAGACCTATTGATAGTATCACACTAAGCCTCTGAGGGGCCAAAGGTTCTGACTCGGTGAGTGCTATTTGGGAGACATTGCTCGTGCTGCTGGCATAACTGTATGCACATGTAGCGAGGTGAGAGCAGATGAGCATGCGTGTGCATGCATGTAACCTGTGCTTCTCAGTGGAAAATGCAGTGTCAGAGGAATTGCAGAAATGAATTTGGGTGGTGACAAACAAGCCAAGACTGGTTCAAACTGTACTGACTGTCAGTATCTCTTATTTGAAATTAAAATGTTTTTTATTGTTTCCAGCCTTCTGGAGGAGAGAAGGTGGTCCAGGAATGACCTCTCATTGTCAGAATATATTCCCTTTTCTCACAGTATATTTTAAATATTTTGTTAAACATGTCAGCATCAGTATTTTATATTTACCAAAACTCAAATTTAGGCTCATATTTATTTGTTGTTCTTTTAATACATCCTGTATTTTCCTAAGTTGAATAGCTAAATTGCATTTTTGTTATTTTGAAAACATTGCAGAATTCTGGCATTGTTGAAGTCAATGGCCAAACTGTCAGAGACTTAGCAAGGGCTAAGATTTCAGTGTACTTTAACATAACCAAACAGATAAACAATATTATCTAACTTTACATTTTCTAGAGAGATGACCGGTGGAGAGTGATGTAATCTCATTTTATAGCACTAAAGACTCACTTGTTGCTCTGTCAGTGAACTTTTAAGTGCAGCACACACCACAGGTGCTTTCTAGATGCATGTATAATGATACCATGCCTCTTTCTAAAACCTTGTTAAAAGCATAAATCTGTTAGGTCTTACTTTCTACTGTTACCTTCTCCTTTTCTTCTTTACAAGAATATTTTTAAACAGAAAGAGAAATAGTATAGTACAAGTAGTTTCATGGAAGTTGATCTTACTTGCTTTTGTCAGATGTTCTGGTCACTGAAGAAGGTATAAGAATGCTCTTGCCTTAAATCTGATAGCAGGTCATGGCACATCCCCTTATGTACATACTCGTAGGCAGTATTTTACCTGTGCTGTTTTTCAAACATGTTAAGAGTTGTACTGGGTCTTGGAGCTTGATACATAGTAAGCTAATTAAGTTGATTAAAAAAATGTGAAGTTGGACAAGTGATTTGTGGCCTCCTCAGGTATGTGAGGTAGTCCTGCCACAATTGCTCTGAAAAATACCTGATTCTGTAAATAGTTGTCTGAAATGATAGACTGGACCTGCTTAATGAGCACAATTCAGTTCAGCATGCTTAAGAGTCTAGTCTGTTATCCTTACTTATAGATTTAAATTCCTTTTAGTCTAACAAAGCAAGAAATTTTGAGGAGGATTGCATTACAAATTACATAATTGTAAAAGGGAGAAGCTATTTGCTTACATGAATTGAATTGCAGTCATACCTTTTTGCAATGGGCTTATTAGACAAATGTTTCCACAGTGACCAAATAAATTGTGGCTGTTGCCACAGGGGACTAATAAAACTGAGTAATTTATTTGATAACAGGATAAGGAAAGAGCATCAGAGATGAGTTCCTCAAAGCTGGCAGAAACTAAAACATGCAGTTACCACATGTGGGGAAGGATAGGTAACAGTTCCCTTCTACAGACAGAAACAGAAGAAAGAAATTAGCAATTGTGGAACAGTGATGGGTTAGCAGGAGAAGGGTTGTCTGCTTCTGTTTGGAGAAGAACTGTTTTGTGAAACAAGTTGACATGAGTGTTGTTTTGCATAAGGGCTCTGGTTCGTCAGATATGAGCTAACCCGGTATAATGAGCTTAATACCCAAATTTCTCAATATCTGTAAATAGCACAGTTCTGCAGGAAGATTCTTAAAACCAAAAATTTTTTTTAAAAAGCTTTCTGCGCAAAAATCAAGCTCATAGCATGGGAACAATAGACCTCTAATATAGTAAGGAACAGATCAGCCTTAAAAATGAACAAAGGAGTAACTACTGTGCAAGGGATGCAACTGGAACATTTCTACAGGCATGGAAGATAAATTCACACAGTAGGGCCCTATTTACAGGGAAAGACTTCATTACGGTTTTTTGCCATTTTTGCATAGTGAAAAGAATTCCCGTATGATTAACATCTGAGTCATGCACTGAGTTATATTATCGTAACTTTCTCATTGTTGGCTTCTAGGAGAGGCATGTTGCCACTTCCTGGTCACAGAAATCATGTTGACAGAAAGAAAAGATAGTTTGGAAAGGAATGATTCATTACCTATTTGAAATACATTACTTTGGATAGTTAAAAGAATCTAGTACTATCAGAAGAGTAGAAATTCTAAAACATGAAAAGGGACCATAGGTTTGTTAACTAACTTCACACTAAAACATAGTTGACAATGTTTGAATACTGTGGAGAATGGACTGGAAGGTATTCCCCATAAAACTCTGTGTACATGAAAGACAAGGTAGTAAGGAAAGTGATAGTTAAGTCATACATAATATTTTGAAATGCTGTCATAGGTTCCTCCACCCCCAGCCCCTTTGCATGTTTTTATCTAAAGTTAAAAAGACTTACACTGGTGTTTGTGTACAGCAGAGTACTGCAGTCTGTGGCTTGAAACCTTCACAACTTCTTTGCGTGTTTAATGCTGTGCAATGACAGCAGTTATTTCCTTTGGTTTTATGCCTATTCCATTAAAATTTACTTAACATTGTAGTCCTCCATACTTTTTTGTCAAACTGGTACGGAACAAAGGAACCATGAATGTCAAGTTAAGAGTGCATAAACTTGAGAGGTGGCAGAAGTCATGTGCACTGGAAGATCAAGACATGTGTTGGAGTGCTGAGATAAGGCAACAGTGAGTGCATCATAAAACACATGGAGTGAGGCAGAGGGGCATATAATATCATAACTTTCTTCTAATTATCTTCTTTTACTATTAAGTGTTGTTCACTTTACCCACTTATGCTCCTTTTGTGTAAGTCATAGTAACTAATAATTCTAAATAGCTGAGTACACATTTCCACATGGTAACAGAATAAATTCACTTTTCGTGCACAGAGGGAATAAAATGTTTGCTATTAGGTTTGTATCTAAATTTACTAACTTTTGGAGGGTTTTTTTTCAGGTGAAAGACTATATGAACTTACATTTTTACACTGATAGGGAGTATAAAAGTATCAATTTCCATTTCTGTTTTCATAGACTTTCCTCACAGTTTCTTTCTTGGATCTAACAGGTAGTGGTTTACTTCACAAAAATTACTGTTTTGTTACATAACAAAATAAATAACTACACTTCCAACAAAGTAAAATTCCTGCTTACCGCTGCCAAAATAATTACTTACTTCAGTTTCTTTCAACTTTTATTGAGAATTTTTTTTTGTTAATTTCTCTAAAAACTTGTTTTTCCAGATTATCATTAAGAATTGAGCCAGGTAACAGCTCTCCTCGACTGGTTTCCTCCAAAGAAGATCTTGCAGGTATAAAACTTCATTTGAAAATTTGAGTAAGGAAATAATTTTAATTACAGAAATCCTCCACTGAAATATATGGGAAAACCCATTTTATATCAGAGGGGTTTTGGAGGAATTAATCAGTTTCAGATATGGGCTTTTATTGCAATTACAGAATTACCTCGTAAGGGCTGTCACAGAGAATTGATCCCTTCCCATGCATATGCCCAGTTTCAGAACATCCTTGGTCCAGAACACCACTACTCTGACAGTTGTAAAAGATCTGATGTTTATTGCAAATTTCTACATAGCCAGGTGTACTTGGGTTAGCACTGTCCTTTGTTTTAAATAATTTTCTTCCTTGATGATATTCACCCTCGGAGGTTCTTACAGTAACAAATTATATCCCACATACCAGGACTGATTTCACACATACCAGCATTCTTTTGACTAGGCAAAACAAATCCATTGATCTTAAATGAATAAAAACAATCTGATTTTAGAAGACTTAATTTGCAGAGATTGTAGAGGAGGGATGTACTGTTATTTGCCTTTCTGGAGAACGGGTTTACCTGGATGGCAGAGAGGAGTGTTTTTAAGATGATTTATTAGTAGGTTTCACATTTTTAATAGGTAGCATAAAATCTATTGAACTTTCCTGTGCTGAGATTAAAAACCCAGCTACAGCACAGCACGGCTAAAATTAATCCCTGGAATTGACCAGTGCAAATTGCCAAGGTTGTCAGTATCAATACCAAGTCATCCACTAACCTTGTTACCGTATCAGAATCTACTCAGGGACCATCATTCCCAGTAGTATTGCTGTGAGCTTTTTCATCCAGAAGCCAGACCTGGTAATTCAGAGGTATTATCAGTAGCATGAGTCATCAATAAAGATTGCTGACTTGTATATAAACAATTGCAGTTCGAGGGATAATACAGGGTGTTTGTTAGCATTGGAACAGAAATTAGATTGTGTGATTTTTTACAAATGCTTGCATTTTCATTATTTAATAAGTGAAGAAGGAAGAGCGTTCTTTCAGTACAAACAAATCAATGCAGTGAACAACATCAGAAATTCTCCTTTCAGGTTTCTGTGTGAACTAACACATAAATTTGAGACCATTTCCTTGTGTAAAGTGGGAGGACAAAAAATTTGTAATAGCTTTTAGAAACACCTAAAAAACTACAGTACCATCCATAAGTTGACCAAAACAAATCTGCTGTACCAACACAGTTTATTTCTATGAACAGACTAAACGAACATCAGACTATGTGAAATGTACTTACTACTATAGGAGCCATTATCTCAAAAGCTGTTCTATTTTAATCTCTTAACCTGAATGGCCAATTTTCTGTCTTACTATGTTAAACCATGTGTGAATGTAAAAAACCCAAGGGGGCCAGACCACATCTGACAAGCAATTTCATTTGGCATTCATAATGTCTTTTCTTCTCACCGAGAGAGAGGCAAGTGAATGAAAGAGAGAAAGAAAAAGGAAGATGCTAAATATGAAAGGAGAAAAATAAATACAGATGTTTTTCCTCCACCTCTCAGCTCTTCATGTTGGCTGCTGTGAAACCCTTTCTAAGTGTCAAATGGCCAGTCATTTATAGGGAACAGTTGTCTCAGGATCGTGAATGCTATTCCCAGAGTCAAATAAACATTTGACCTCATCTTCAGTCCATACAGTTCTAAGGAAAAAGGAATAAAATCTATAGAAATAATAATTTGGAAGAAAACATTTCTTCACGAAGGCGCTCTCCCCCTCCCCCCTCAATGCTCAGTATTATTAATTGCTGTGTAAAATACAAGGAAGTAGTTCACAGGAGGAAATTTTTTTTTAACTAGGTAAGTTCAAAAGGAGTTCTTAATTAACACTGTCTTTGTACAGACGTGTCTGGCTGGGATGGAGTTAACTTTTCCCATAGCAGCCCTCATAGTGCTGTGCTTTGTATTTGTAGCTAGAAGGGTGTTGATAAGGCACCAGTGTTTTGACTACTGCTGAGCAGTGCTTGCAGCATCAGGGCTGTCTCTCCAAACCCACCCCCCCGAAAAAGGCCAGTAGGCTGGGGGTGGGTAGGAGGTTGGGAGGGGACATAGCCAGGACAGCTGACCTAAGCTGACAAAAGAGATATTCCGTACTATATGACGTGCTCAGCAATAAAAGCTAAGAGAAAGGACGAGGAGGGGCATTCGTTATTAGGGCATTTGTCTTCCAAAGCAACCACTGCGAGTGCTGAGGCCCTTCTTCCCAGGCAGTGGCTGGACATCGCCTGCTGATGGGAAGTAGAGGGTAAATTCTTTTTCGTTTTCCTTTGCTTCCGCCCGCAGCCTTTGCTTTTCTTTATTAAACTGCCTTTATCTCAACCCATGAGGTTTTTTTAATCTTATTTTCTCCCGCCCTGTCCTGCGGAGGAGGGGGAGTGATAGAGCGGCTTGGTGGGCCCCTGGCAGCCAGCCAATGTCAACCCACCACATCATGTAATATTTTGTTTTGCTTTTGTGAGGATTTGCTTTTTCATACTTGAAACTTAAAATTAAGTCATTGCCTCTCATATGATTATATCTTACATATGTAAAGCAGACATACGAGTGAACTTTTTTGTTTTCTGGCTTTCACTTTGTATTACTCACATTTAAATGCTTTACACTAGGGTTTTGATGTTAACATTTCATGAGGATGGTTGTGGAAGTTCTGACTTTGGTCGTAGCAGCATAGTATGTGATCATCACCAATACTCTGTAATTCTTAATTGAGGGCTTAGACTTTATTAGAGCTGTAATGGAAGGCAATTATAAATACAGTTCCAAAGTTGGAAACAAGAACTTTGAACTCTTCTGAGCCAGGCGAGTAATGGCTTTATACTGCAGTAAGCTCAGCTGGAGCTGAGCTCAATCATATATTGATCGGGACAATGTTCAGTAGTACCTACTCAATTGAATATGTGATCATATGGTTCCTGGCAGTATTAGGAGAGGGTGAACTTTCCCCTCTGAATCTGCAGTGCCCCAATATGCTCTGTAAGGTTGCTTTATTCAGAGTGAGAATTAATATGATGACTAGAAACCAAGTCTTGAGTCATTCCTATTGCTCCATTCTTCGGTTAGTATTTCCTTCGAAAGCTTGACACGCTTGTGGACTGCTGTATTTCTTGCTCAGCTAGAGAGTTCTCACTTACTGCCAGTTAGACAATGAATGCCACCAGCATTTTGTAATACCCACATTAATTTTTCAGTGACCTGCACCTATGTGGCTGCAAAAATGCTACTAAAGGGAATCCAGTGTACTTTATTGAAAAAACAAATTAATTCCTGGAGAAGGTTAGTTAAGTAAGCTAGCATGAATTCAAATTGAAATTTAACTAAGCATGAAGGCAATAATTTATTGTTTATTTCACAACATTAATAAATAGAAATATAGCCATATGTTAGTCTTGAATAATTCCAAGCTAAAATACCGAAATATCAGTAATGAGATATTCGACCATGGAGAATTAAAAATAGCAGTTGACTGGAAGGTATTCCAGTCGACGTTACTTGGATTGAAATTATAGTTTGAGATTATTTCCACTTCAGCCATTGTGTGCCAGGAGTAAATCCTTTGCAGTCAGCAAGCTATAATGATAAGAGATGATCTCAAAATAGTTTAGGCAGTAGTTTAATGTTCCAGTCAACAGTTTAAGGCATAGGAGTCTGAATATAGTGATTTTAAGGTAAAATAAAGGTTCTTGGCCCATAAGGGCAGTCATCAGTTCAGTTCTCCTGATAGTCAAAAAGTTAATATGTTACTAATAGCAATAAGTCTAGTTGAGTTCTGCATGTGACATACTGCCTTCTTATAGGTTGCCATGTGTTTCCAAATACGGAGAGAAAGCTCGATATCGTGGTAATAATTCCAAAGTCTATAATGGACTTAAGTGCAGGGAATAGTGTCTTCTTCATGTCCTAAAGTATAATTAGTTGTGTTGATGATGGAAATGGATTTTCCTTCTCAGCATTGTGACTTTATCTTCTACCCAACTTCAGTTTTGTTTCTTTCAAAAGAAGATTAACAGTTTACTCTAGCCAGGGACATTGTGGGTTTCTCTTTTTCCCCTTAAAGTATCTTTATGAGTGTGAGGCTCAATAAAACAGTTAAATCCTTCATATTTCTGTTTGCAAAGTACTGGAGAAAACCATGTGTCCATTTTCCACTTTGGTTGCCAACTGGTTTTCCAGTAAATTCAAACAGGAGGCAGACATCTGATTAAAGTGTCTCACAACAAGCTATGTTTTGTATATTAGTGGCTAAGATGGTCTCATTTAATTACCAAATGCATATATAATTGTGAATAGTGCTTTCACAGGAAGATTTCATACCTTCCATAATGCTGCAGAGATTCTTGTCTCTTGCAAGTAGCATTTAAAAAGGAGCTTTAAACAGTTTAATTGTATGTTTTCAGGAACTGTGTGATTCACACAACTTCCTTGGCAGCAACTTAAGTCTGCTCATTCTGCCTTGCTATGGTTTGAGAGAGAGAGAATGTAGCTGGAGAGCTTATAGTATGCTAACTGTTCACAGTTTCCAGTTGAATTAGCTGTAAAAGACATCTGTGTTCCTGCAGTGTTGGCTAGGAGATGCCCAGCATTTATGGTACAGCTATTAGATTGTTTTGGAAGGTATAACTCAATACGTTTTCCCAGAACGAAAGAAAAGATTTAATGTAATATATGGTAAATAAGTTAGCCTTCTAAGCAACTGAAGTTCCTTAGAATTGCACACCAAGTGTAGCGCAGTATAGAAAACTTTATGTATGTTCTTTATCATCTTAATGTTATTTTGAAAAGTTCAGGGTGCAGTGCTAATCAGATTATAGAAAATGGTTACTCGTTCTCTGAAATATACCATGTTTATCCTGTCTTGGAAAACAATGTAAAAAGATAAAATAATGTTAAAATAATTGCCCTATCCAGAAAATCATATCTAATACTAAGTGACTCAAAGACTGGTCTTCATGATTCTGTGACTTTTAATGAACCCCTT